GAACTCAAAACCATCTCCCTCTCCCCTCAGAACACAGCTGATCTTATACTTCCCTCACCTCCCTTCTCTGATTTTGCTGCATTAGGAAAACAGCATTTTAAATGTGGTCCATCACAGAGTCCAACAGATATGATTTTCTACTGAGTGTACACTTGGTGATAGACCTACTGCTTACATGAGTAATGTGTGAAATTGCCTAGACATCAAAAAGAAGAAGAAGAGATTGGATTTATATCCTGCCCTTCACTATCCAAAGGTGTCTCAGAGCGGCTTACAAACTCCTTTCCCTTCCCCTTACAAAAAGATGGTATCCCTATCAAATTGACAACATGATACCCAAAGCTTTGATTAAAAGGTAACATTTATATCATAAATATCAAATACTTACTGTAGGAACAGCCAAAAACCTCCACCCGTAGGCCTATTTTTCCACGGAAACTCCACTTCAGAGGAACAAAGCGCACAAAACGAGACTTCACTGAGTGCAGAAATTTGTGCTGTATTACATTGTCAGCATTGATGTTTCCCGGAAAGATCTGAAAAGACAAAAAAACCTTGATAAAGTTTAAATAATTTATGTCACAAATAAACTTAATTTATGTATCAAATAGCAATAGATTATGTATTATTCATTTTACCTCGCTGAGGAAACAATCAGCTTCCGCGTTGTCCATCTAACATACCTAACAGTAAATTGTCTCCTTTATGTGTGGATTATGTACTTTGCAAAATCAGGCCACCCACAGAGATGAAGAGGACTCAACAGTTGGGATGTGCATTCAGTGCAACCAAGCCAAATAATAACCTGAATACTGCCTATACAGAAGCATTTGGGATGCCCAACTGCTGAATCAGATTCTCTAATCTGATTTGGCATGGCAAATAGGGCATCTCCGAATAGCAGCAGGAAGGGGGTTTAAACTTTAAATGTTCACTTACCTCCTTCTGCCTTTCCCTGCCAATTCAGGGCTTTTCCCTGGCTTTCCTGGTCTAAGGGGGGAGGGGGAGGGGAAAAGACAGTAGCTTACAGCCAATCACTGCCATGCATTCGCAAATTGCAAATGCATGGTGCAGCTCTTGGAAATGCTGGTGTTGCTTGCTGCTGGTCTAACCAGCATAGCACCACCTACCTTGCTTGGGTGGGGGGAGGGAGAACTTGCAATTCTGCCAATTGAATTGCAAGCTACAATGTTCTTTGTCCAATCACAGGACAGTGGGGTTTTTCGAAACTGTTCTGTGTATGGGCAGAGAGCATTTAAGCAGGAGTCCTGGCTCTTGGCTAGACTCCATTGCTGGTTGGCGACTGTGTTGCTGCTGGCCTTGGATTGGCTTCTGTAGCAACCCAAGAAGCAGTGTTAGAAGAGTCAGATAACAAATATATACATTGGGGGGAAAAATGTTTTTGTAAATTAATGTGTTCTATTTGTTAACTACTGGTAGTTATTATACTAAATGAACTGATTATCATTGTTTATTGCATGTAATGAATATATATACCTGTTTTAGGATACTATAATAGCACACAATGCACTTTATAAGATGGTAGTTAACAAATAGAATATATTAATTTACGAAGGCCCCGGTCACACGAGCGGGATAATCCTCAGGGGACGGGAGGCTTTTTGAGCCGGAACAAAAAGACGCATGGTAGTGTAATCTCACCTTCCCCCAAGGCTCCCTGCCCAAGCCTCCAGCAGCCGATCACACCACACTAAGCAACACCATTGCAAGGCATTTGTGCACATGCGTGGGACGCCAACGGGCGCTGTCTGCGATGGGCTACCACCGCTTCCTGATCAGACGCCTGCATGCGCCGCACATTATCGGGAAACTAGTACATGGTTCCCAGTAGCTTTTAAATCCGCGTCTTCGGGCCGAAGCTGCGGGTTAGAGATGGGAGTGTGATGTTTCCCAGATGTTCAGGTATGATCGCGCAGCTTTAATCCGCAGGCCATCCCTCTCGCGGGCAAATTCGCCGTGTGAACGAGGCCAAAAAAAGGTTTTCGCAGTATATTTATTTGTTATTTGACTTGGCTTGGCTTCAGCTGCTGTGCTGTGCTCTGTGCCTGGCCTGCCTTTCTCTTCCCTGCTGTGGACCATGGTGGACTCCTGCCAGACTGGACTGAAGACATCAGCTGGTTTAGAGAAATATATATTTTTAAAACATGAACATTTAAAAGTGTTTTTTTTTAAGCCTTTACATATCCTCTGTTAGGTGGGTGTATGGCTTGGTCTGGGTGGGTGGGCTCTGTTGTGTGGGTGTTGGGGGAGATTGGCTGAGCTGTTCTTTACTCAACGTTACTACTGACAGTGTTTTAAAAGTTTGTTTTCCTGTCTTAAAAAGTTTTATTGTTGGATAGTTTATTTCTTTTGTTTGCTGTGGGGAGGAGCTGGTGGGGTGGGGTTTGTTGATTTATTTATTTTATCACTAGTGTGCCTTGTTGTTCACTAGTTCTGGTTTATGTTAGTTGTTGCACTGTTGTTGTGAAGTTTGGATTTTTGAAAGCTTTCCTGTTTTAAGAGTAGATTGTTCCTTTTGGTTGCTGGTGGGGGGTGGGCTGGTGGGGTGTGGGTTGTTGTTTTGGATTGGATCAGCTAACGTTTCTTAAGTGGTCTGTGTTAGTTGTGGCACTAGGGCTGCCAAGTACTTACTGTGAATCGGTGGGGGACACATAGTTCTTTGCAGAACATTCCCATGTGGAAAACACCCGTGCCCCACTATGTTGTCGTCCAGACGTGATGCCAGCATCGAGTTTTCAGCCCCATTGCCAGAGCGTCGCCCGGCTACGTGCCCAGCGTGCTGGCGTCATGTCTGGGCGACAGAATAGTGAGGTGCAGGTGTGTTACACACAGGAATGTTCCGGCCAGAAACCACGTGTCCCCCGCCGATTTGCTGTAAGTACTTGGCAACCCTATGTGGCACTGTGGTTTGTTTGGGTTTTTTTAGGTTTTACTGGGCTTGGTGGGTGTTTCTGGTTTTTCAAGTTAGGGCCATTAAATAGAATGATCTAGTAATAAGGGTCTGCTCAGAAATTCTTTTACTTTTAAACACTTTTAAATCATTGAGCCTAGGGCTGTAGTTCATACCTAGCCAGGCTGGAGGTAGGATACTGTTAAAAGAGGTGGGTATTTTCTTTCTTGTTTCCCCCTTAAAAAAATATTTTACCATTTAAGGGGATGAGGTGAGGATTTTCTTAAAAGCAGTGGAATAAGTAGCTTAGTACAGACTTAATTGAAAGAAAGCAGCTTCTTGTGCACCTGACCTTCAGTGAAGGCAGTTGCTTTTAGAGAAATACATTTTGTAAGTTGAACCGTACCTTTTCAGGTCTCAATTCCAAACAGGAACTCAGGTTTGTCCCAGTAGATTCTAGTTAGGAGAAGTTTAATAAAAACCCCAGGACTTCTAGAGAGGTTTGCTTTCCATCTCAAGGTTAGCTTTTAAAAAGTGTTAGCCAAGGCAAAGGTAGGGATTCCCGACTTTTAAACAAAACCAGTACCAAGAAATAAGGAAAGAAAGAAGTAAGGACAGGTTAGGGTCCTCTGAAAAGCAATATAGATTTTAAGTGGGATGGTTTTTAAAAAAAGGAGTCAGACTCTGTTAGGTTCAGATTGAAGTGCAGGTCGTTAGGTGCCTGAGCACTTTACCCACAGATTAGAAGGAGTTTGGCCCAGGATATCTGTTAGGTTCAGATTGAAGTGCAGGTCATTAGGTGCCTGAGTACCCTACCCACAGATTAGAAGGCGTTTGGCCCAGGGTAACTGTTATGTACATGGACCGCCACCAGGTGTCCGCAGTTAAAGCAAGAGCTTGGTCCCCAAACACAAAGGGGACTTAGGATCCTAGTCCACCAGGAGCCCACCAATAGCACCCTTGGCAGGAGATTCAAACCCTCCAATGGGGACAGAGGTGTGCCGGGTGGAGTGTATATAGTTGGCCTTGCAGGGCCATTTTGTGTACAATAAACGCGTCTGAACGCATGTCGTGGTCCGAGTTCTCCATGCGCCAAACCCAGTACTTTTCAGTAACATGATGAGTGATAGCAAGGGAATGCTGAGGGGCCCTGGGGGCAAGGATAAGGAGAAAACTAAAGAGGTGGTGGTGGAGGAGGAGGGCTGCAGTTTTCCCCTCACCTGTGCAGAGGACCACTCCAGAGTTGCCTTTCACCACTCTGACCTCTGGGCGTAGTGGTACAATGAAGAGGCCCCACCTTGGCAGCTTCATTGAGGCTGCCTCTGGGGTGGCTCCTGCAGAGGTGCCCACAGGTGCTGGTCTGCTGCTCAGGCAGTTCTTCCTCACGCTGCTGCTGCTAAGGCTCAGCAGCAGGAGGGGCAGCAAGAGCAGTCTTTGCAGTTGAGCTTTGGGGACAGTTTACTGGCTCAAGAGCTCACCCCACAGACAGGGCCAGCCCGAGGTTTTGACACCTTTTCCCCAACATAGGAACCAATGGGGAATGGGGGCAACCTATGTGGGGGCTCATAGAATTGAAAGGGGGTTCTTTTGGGAGAGGATCCAGCAGCTACACTGCAAATTTGGTGCCTCTCTCTCAAACCCCTCCCCCCCCAGCCCCCAGATTATCCCCTAAGAGATTTTGTCATTGACTCTAATGGACCATAGGGTATAATGGAGCCATGTATTCATGATTCCCAAATATTTCCTGAACCCCCATGCATGGCTGAACCTGATATTCAGGAATATTCATCATTCCTGAAAATTTCTTGGTTAAAAAATCCCAAATCTGAATAATGCCATTTTTTTTTGGTCCTGTACACCTCTACTGTACAGCCATAGAGCAAAATACCCTGAAAAAGACATGGATGTGACTGTGTGTGTGTGTATGTATGTGGATTCAGATAATCGATGAATCCTTGTGAAATGGAGAGTGTGACATAATGGGATAGCTTGCAGTAAATTGTAGTTTTAACATCTCTGTCTGCCAAAAACTTTGCACCGTCTCCAGGGGTCATTTCGTAGAAAAAGAGCTAGGGGAACTCATTAGCATAACTCATTAACATATGCCACACCCCCTGACATCACCGGAAGTGTGTCATAAGGCCACACACCCCGCCCCCAACGGTCCCGGCCGCCACCGCTGGCCTTGCAGCTCCACCGCCGAGCCCCATGAGGGGCCCGGTGGTGACCTGCAAGGCTGGTGGGAGTGCAAGGAAGCCCCGCGAAGGCCCTCCCTGGCCCCAGGCAGAAAGGGGTGGTGGGAGGCAGGGAGGAAGCAACTTACCCTCCCTCTTCTCCTGCCTCCTCCTGGCTGAATGAGGGCTGGAAGCGGGGCGGCTGGAAGCGGGGGGCGGGGCTTCATCATGTGCCTCGCCCCCCATACCTCACCCATGGGAACTGCGATCCCCCGCGATCCCCCCGAAATGACCTCTGGTTTGAGGTGGTGTGGTGGGCATGGATCTCTGTTACAGCCATTAGTTTTGTTGTCCTCTAGGTATGTCGGTGTACTTATTATTTAATGCATTCCTACCCCGCCTTTCTCCCCAATGGGGACCCAAGGTGGCTTACATGATCCTCTCCTCCATT